GAAGATGTTCTGGAAGGCCAATTAAAGTTGATAAAGATAATCTAAAGATATTAATTGAAGTAAATCGACGAATAACAACATGAGAAATCGCTAAAAAATTAAATTTTTCGAATTTGACCATTTATGATCATGTGAAATAACATGGTTACATTTCAAAGCTCGATATATGGATTCCACATATTCTTAAAGAAATAGATTTGCTCCGTTGCATTAATATCTGTAATTTGTTTCTCAAATGTCAAAAAAATAATTAATTTCTAAAACGAATGATAACTGATGATGAGAAATGGATTGTCTACAATAATGTCAAATGCTAGCGATTATGGATCAGAAGATATGAGTTCATTCAAAGCATTTCGAAAGCGGATATTCATAAAAACAGAGATGCTTTCTGTTTGATGAGATTTTAAGGGAATTATTTTTTTGAACTTTTACATAATAATTATACAATTAATTCGGAAGAGTATTGCCATCAACTGGAAAAATTGCATGATTTCATCAAACAGAAGAGCCAAGAATTGATTAACAGAAAAGGTGTAGTGTTTCACCACAATACCAGACCGCACACGTTTGTTTACCCATCAGTAGTTATTACAGTTTGGATAGGATGTGCCATTACACCGAAATTTTATGAAATTTCTTAAACAATAAAACATTCACTTCACATAAGGATGTCAATAATATACAATATATATATATTTTTTTTTAGAAAAAACATTATATATATATAATGTTGTGCTTTTTCTATTCTTTTATTTTCAATAAACTGAAAAAAACAAAATAAGAAAAAAGTCTCTGTAAATGAAATTTAGATATGCAGTATTAATACGTAAAATAAAACATATAACGTCTAACAAGTTTCAATTACGTGAAACTTTTTGATTACTTAGATCAGTGTTTTCTAATTAAACATTAGAAGTAATTATATTACTACCAGAAAAATGGCAAAAGTTATTGAATCAAAATGGTTAATATATAATACAATAAAATATTTACATATTACAAGAAAATTGTCTTTCATTTTCATGAAAAAAACACGAAATTACTTTCCGAACAACCCAATATCATAGAGCCTTGATTTTAAATTGATTGAATGTAATTCTAACATCTCTTGTGAATGTTTATCAGTTAATTTTGATCTCAATTTGGACTTATTAATACTCATGATTGAGAAAGTTTTTTTGCATATACATATAAGTGCTTACAAATAATGAAAACTTTCGTTGAGCATGTTTGCTAGAATTATCTAGGAAATCCTGTAAAGATAATCCTTTATAAAAATCAATTAAGTAATTGTTGCTATAAGATTTCTTGATTATGACATTTTTTTGTAATTCGATTGTTTTCATTATCTCTATAAATTTAAGATTGCCGTGGATGATTTGACATCACGGGTTGCACTTTAGGAATCCCTGCTGTAAACAGTAAACAAACGATTTGGAATACAATGATTTACTGTTCCTCTCATCTCTCCGCTACCCTCGCTCCCTTACATCTTCGTTATATTCCTAGACCAAGTAATACGACATCGATGACAGGAGGTAAAGTGTGCTTTTGAGTTCGCACGTCAAAATATATTATTTTTTTATTAACAAAACATAGAACGTACGATTGTCGTTAATTCCTTATAAGCGTCTTATCGAGAGATTGAACAAACGACGCGTATATTTTTCTTTCTTAATCTTTTTTGTCCTTCCTATGATGGGTTTGTTTATAGAAGGAAGAAAAGATGCGACTGAGATATTGAGAGAGAATGAAATGTAAGTGCAACATGTGTAAGATAGGCAATAAATAGGACAAAGTAACGAATGTATATGAATGTGAGTGGGGATAAGAAAGGCTACAGGATAGACGTGAGAAAAGAATAGCAGAGGATAGTCTCGAGTAAACCAAGCGAAGAGTAATGGTAAAACTTTCTGGATCAATTACAGGATAAAGAAATGTATTATTATAATATATTCATTAATAAAATACTTATTAATTAAGAATAAGTGATTCGAGTTTCTCTTGTCTATATCTTCCAGATAGAATGACGAAAAATATCCTACAGATACATCTTTTGTTTTATTATTATTTCCGGCAAGTCGCAAGAGATAAAAACTGAAATATGTCCGTCGTTCTCGACGATATCACGAAAAAAGGTATAAGATTATTAAAAGATAAACAAAAAAAGATACATTTAGTTAGACGGAAAGCATGGCAATTAATTAATTATAGATGTATAGATAGACTAGTTATACATACATATATATAAAAACATATTAAGAAAACATATCTAAAGAATTTAAGTTAGCATAAAAGATTCCGTAAAATACCACTCATTAATTGTATCTTTATCATTCTCGCAGACTTCATATCGAAATTTTTTGAAACACTCGGATTCTTCCGTAACTGTTCGTAAATGGCACGCAATTTAACCTAAGTATTCTTACATTATACCGTGTTACTATAGATATTAATTTGATATTAATTAAAAATTTCTTTTTAAAAGATAAATACTTGTATAATAAATTAAATGTATATTATTATTACGTTATATTATGATTGAAGAAAAACAATATTTCGTTTAATTATATAGAACAGTATATACATATTATTAGGAGATCTTAATGGATATAAACATGTTTATAGAAATACTTCATTATAGGTCTTCGTAGCTCAAGTGGTAGAGCGTTCGTTCGGAAAGCGAAAGGTCCCGGGTTCGATTCCCGGTCGAGGAAACGAAAGGCCGAGAAAAAAAATCTCTCTCTCTCGCCGGAATTACCATATTTTCTGTCCTCTTTATTCTCCTCTCCTTTATAAGAGTATATATTACATTTTCTCTTATTCTGATGAAATTGGACTACGCGTCCATTCCACCGTGTGTTGTTCGTGGGGTTTTACCATCTCTCGCACCCCCATCATCTTTCATCACTTTCTAGTCATTATCATATTATAAATTATTAATTCGTATTATAATAAATTTTCCTTTTATTTAATTAAATATTATAAATTAGTATTTCAGTAGAGTTTTATTTGCTTTAAAGATTAATAAAAAATATATTATTTGTAAAGGGTGTTTCCTTTTAAGGTGGGAGAGGAAGCTTCTCTTTTCCAAAATAAATAATTTGCATACATGTAATGTATGATATTTATTATTCCCCTTAGTGTCTTGTCTTGCCTGCCTTTCCACCATTTACAGTCACAAGAGAAAATCTATATGAAACATATTTTCCTGTGACTCTAAATAAGATTCTAACTACAGACACACTCTATTTTTAGAGAGCGAAGAAAATTCATAACAACAAAACGCGGTCGGATCAGTTTAGATTTCTTGGACAAATGGGCTCTCTTTCATTATTTCTATATTCCTGCTGCTGAATGTTGAGTGTTGATTGGGCTGGCAATAATTTGATAAAAGGGGACCGATTATTGTGTTATAATTGTAGGATTTGGAGTGAATTGTATGCGGAGTGAGGGCTGGGTGTGTGAAGTATATTAGAATGAAATTCTATTTTCATCGTTGAGTGGCAGCAGTGTTGGAAGTAGTGTTAATAACAAGTGTCTGTCCGTAGAGAAAATATATATATACTTGGGCTGAAAGTTTCCTAGATAGCTCAGGTGGATAGAGCAGTCGCCCGAAAATCTTTACGAAAATCAAGCGAAGATCTAATTTTTTTCATTTTTCTATCCATTTTTTTACTTCTATGACAATATTTCTCATGAAACGTTGTTTTTATTTTTCTATTTCTTGCATGATTCTTCTTTTCGAATGAGGAGGAGGATTATATTTCTTTTTACGTTAAATAATATAGGGGATAAGTAATCACGATCAAAACGCATGGACACAACGCAACGATTGTTGTGAAGATTATGGGAAGAGTCATTACATAATTATTTAAAAACAAATTCCTGGAAATGGTTTCGTGTGGTTATATGATTTGACTTCTTAAGAATTTTGCTACTTATTTGGTATCTATTAAAGTAAAAAATTGCCTATGCGTAAATAGTTATACAAGGTCATGAAAGTATTTCATAACGATAAATATTTGACACAGGATATTGAAGGTAAACAACAATGTAATAAGTTTTATAAGCCTATCGTTGCTTTTGATTGTTGACAAGAGCGTTTTTAAATGTGCTTCTCTCATCGGACCAGCGATGGTAGTCGATTTGGACGGAGGAAATGTCCCCCGTCTCGTCATCGTTGTTCGAGCTATAGACCCACTGGTTGCGATGAATTAGGGTAGCGATACTAGGCTGGAATGTTTAAATATTCCGCATGTGCCCCCTTTGTTCTAATGATCTTGTGATTAGAATATGACAATGGATATTACAAAGTCATTATTAGTCATTATTATTGACATTATCAGTTTTATTTGAAGTAGTCGTATACTTTACAGTCGTATATTCATATCTATTCGGAGTTACATAATATAAGCAAATTATACATCGATTTATATAATTTATACAAATGAAATAATGTATTTCCCTCGATACTATTGAAATCTTAACAACTGCAACGTAAAGCTCAAAATCAATACTTTTCAATAAATTAATATTATTGATTTTATAGCGCCGAATTCAATTAGATTAATTTTTACATCCATGCTAAAAATCTTAATTCGATATTTTGAAAATCATTCGATGGTACATAAATTATGTGAGCTGTCCCTTGCTTTGCTTGCAAAAGATAAAATTTATATGACATGGTCGTACTGCGAACATTAATAATATCGAATGTGTAACAAAGCGAATGCTATATAAATTATCTATTTTTTCCTCAATATTTTTTGACGGGATAATTATATCGTCCAAATGTGGTATTGCGATACCGTAACAAATGTTATCTAAAATTACATTAGGAGTCGTTGGAATATAGCAGAAACATTCTAAAATCCGCATAACATTCTAGTGAAATGATTGTCGGATATGATGCTAAGAATATTCAGTTATCGGTACCTAATAATATCCGCTACTTAAGTCAAGTAGAGGAACAACTGGATACACTGTGAGATATCAATTAGTATACTATACTTGAGCTATAGGATACTGTTGCTTGACTATTTTACCATTTATCGATATATAATTTACCGATATATAAGATAGACCATGCACATTCGTAATTTTTTTTTATCAATTTTACCGAACTGGAAAATTGAAAAGCATCCTCTTCGATGATGTCGGTTTCCATCAATTGCTATTCGTTATTTATTTCCTGACTGTTATTGTTGCTATTCGTAATGGAATACTCAATATTGTTGATAATGTACGGATGTTGAATCCACGAATAATATATATTTATCTCAGTTCTATCGATATAAAGTATTTGTAAGATATATTTACCAATTGCATCTTCATATTTGCTAAGAATAAATAAATTTTTACAGACTAGTTCTCCAGAAAATTCTGTAAAATTTCTACATATTAGAGTCTCCCAATATAATGGGATCTGAGTTTACTTTTCCCGTCGCATTTTTCTTATCATATTTTGGAGATAATATTTGATTTATGTCTCCATAATTTCTTTTGCTCTCCATAATTTACTCCTGCCTGCGAATAAAAATGTACATCTTTGTTAAATATATTAATTATTGTTCTTACCTTCAGTATTCACTTCAGCCTGATTTCGATAATACTTTTTTGCTCTCAGTATTATTGTTTCGGTCATAATTCTGTGTCTTTGTCGGAACGTTTCTAATCAACATTATATCGTCTTGAGTATCCTTGTCCTCTAATGTTATTGACATCTTTCCTTGTAGATTTGATTTGCTTACTTTTTTCTCCTTGATATGTCCGACTATTATTTGAATGTTTTTTCACCACTTTCTTTACCCCACATATTCATACTCTCTTAACCGAAACATTTTGAATATCGCTTTTTGTAACTATCAGATTTTTATTAGATCACACGATTAAATTGTGCGGTATTTTAATTACCGGAATAATGATTAGACGGTTTCTTGTACTTACTGTACTTTTCTGCAAATAAGAAGATAAATAATTAGTCAGTCATGCTTATTACCGTTTATTTATCTTCGCTCGATTCCAAGTATACCTTTTTTTCTCTGAATTGTTGTTTCCTTTTGTCCATACTCTTTTGTCTGTGAATCGGTTATTTGTTATATATATGGCTTTGTCGCTGTTTTCACATATACGCAAATTTCGTATTAACAATCTTTGTCCTCTAATATTATTGACGTTTGTTGTTCGTTCGTAGATTTTATTTGCTTTCTTCGCGTTGGTAAAAAGTTCCTTCACCAGATTCTTTACTACTCTTATTTATAAATATTTAACCACGAGCACTTTACAAATATCGATGAGATTTTCACGGCTATTCGATTATCCATACATCATACAATTAACTTTGCGGTATTCTAAGTATCAGAGAAATAATTATACCGTTCTAACTATATTCTTGCAATCTGTACGTAATACAATGATTTTAATAAATTTTGTATCATTTTCAAATGCGCGTTTATCCTCCCGTGTGATATTCCACTTCTGATAATTTATTAGACTTTTCTTAAAAAAAAATAAGAGATCGTTGTAATATAATTCAACGTATAATGACTAATAATTTAAGATACTTGATTCGAGTGCTTCGTCACAAGTGACTTCACCCTGATAGCTATACCCTGTGTATTTATATTAGTTGTAGGTGTCGCTACTCGCAGTTTTCGTATTTTTCCGCGCAATTTAATTGTTATATATAGGTACGAGAAAATTATAAAAGAGTCTACATCTTGTTTGTTCATAAGGAGGAATATTATATATATTGTAGCATATATACATATTCTATCACTCGTACCGTACTTATTAATGTATTAGCGTATTTCCTCGTGAGGCATGATAAACTGGTATTGTTTAAAGAACATTTTGAACTATTTTTCAGAAATAATATATCAGGCATTAGCATAGCTTCATCAGATGTGTTGTTCAATGATACGAAGTGTAAGACAAAAATTTTTCCACTTGTTGGATCGAAGAGAGTGCATAAATTCAGAAATTTCTAGGTTCGAAAATTAAGATTCGGAAATTATAAAACAAATTTTTTTTTCTCCTTAGTATTATCAGCTTTATAATTTCCGTTTTCTGCTCTCGCTGTTAATTTCTCATTGGTCGTACACCATCGATCTCACTTTCTTCTCTCTCTCTCTCTCTCTCTCACACTTCCTCTCAATCACACCCTCATTCTATGAATTGTAACTTTTGCGGCTAATATTAATACAAATTAAGTAGCCTGATCTATTAGTTGTAAAATAAAAATTAATTATGCAACATTTCTATGGGATTGGGCAAAAAAAAATATTTTGGAAGAATTTATAGAAATATAGATTACAACTTTATATTAGTAATAATGATATTACATAGTGGATTGATTGTAAATTTCCTAGATTTATTTATTAATTTTTCGTACGAATATGCTCGACTAAGAAGTAGTAAATAAACTCCAAATTAATATTTTATATTTCTTTCACAGTAATACACTCTAAATATCGTGATAATTAAATTTACTAGCGTAAAATATACATTGTTTATATATTGTTTATGACTTTGTTCTTATCTTTAAAAGTCGTGAGTTATCGATATTTATTAAATTTTAGAAATGTAAAAATATTTTGTCTATTAAGTGAACACTTCTGTAACTTTCGCTAGTCGTCAATGTCGCATTTCTTCGAAAACAGAACGTGACAATGCAACTGTCAAGCATTCCTAATACGAAGCTCCAGTTATACTTGTGTCAGATACCGTATCAGAGACTTACTAAAATCTGTTTATTACGAAAAATGCGACGATTATAATGGCCTATTTTAGTTACTTTGTCTATGCAACGTATATCGTGATTAACTTTGATTTTGTACGTCTTCAAAAATGCGAGAGATGACAACGAGCAATGATTTGAAATATGATGGAAGTATTCGTGTCTCAGATCAAAGGATTCAATGGAGGAACCTGAGGAAAAGAACTTTTCGAAAATCATATCAGTAATGAAATACAGAAAACAAGAAAATTAGTGCAATAGCAAAATATTTGTATCTGGCATTACAATTAGGAATTAGATTAATTCAAATTGTCTTTGGGACTTTTGGAACACATTTTAAGTTTCGATTATTAATGTAGAATTTATTATTGTATAATCGAATTTACTGCCAAATATCTGCACAATCGTTCGCAAATAGACATCACAAGTCGGTTATTAGTTTTATGATACTAAGATTTTCATTATTGGATTTTGTTCGATGATCTAACTTTCACTTTCTAACGAGAGAAAGAGAGAGAGTGATAGAGAGAGAGAGAGAGAGAGAGAGAGAGAGAGAGAGAGAGAGAGAGGAGGAAGAGAAAGAAAGAAGATTGGTGTATGATCGACGGGATATATGTAGTGAAGGTGAGTACAGGAAATTGTGGAACTAATGACATTAACAAATGCATGCAGATAGTGCGATAGTAGTATGCTTCTTACATATAAGGTGACCTGGGTTAAATGCAAAGCTTGGGAAAAAAATCTCATTCTGTAATTTTCAATGGTACTTAATATTTCAATGAACACATTTCTGTCTGAGACGCATTTATGCTTTCTCCTAACCAGCTAGTGGAAAAATTACTATTTTACACTTCGTATCATACAAAATCACATCTGATGAAGAAATGCGAACATTTGAGATATTACTTATAAAAAGAAGATGTACAAGCATATTTTTTAAATCTAAGCTGCCTTGACGAGGGAATATGTTAGTAAAACAATAAGAATAATATTGTAGTACGACACAGCATGCACTCTAATGAGAAAACAAGATGTATGCTATTATTGGACATACATCTTTTCTCATTTTCTCATACCTATATATGTAAAAATTAAATTACGTAGGGAAATATGAAAATCATAAGTAGCGAAAAGTACAACTAATATACGGTGTTGTTACTAGAATTGTAGTCAGTCGTGATTAGCCAGTCAAAGCATAATAATCATGGCTGATTAATTATTTATCTTCTTATTTGCAGAAAAGCATAGTAAGTGCAGAAAACCGTCTAATCAATACTCCGGTAATTAAAATACCATATGATTTAATTGTGTGGTCTAATAAAAATCTGATAGTTACAAAAAGCGATATTCAAAATGTTTCGGTTAAGAGAGTATGAATATGTGGGGTAAAGAAAGTGATGAAAAAACATTCAAATAATAGTCGGACATATCAAGGAGAAAAAAGTAAGCAAATCAAATCTACAAATAAAGATGTCAATAACATTAGAGGACAAGGATACTCAAAACGATATAATGTTGATAAAAAACGTTCCGGCAAAGACACAGAATTATGACCGAAACAATAATACTGAGAGCAAAAAAGTATTGTCGAAATCGAACTGAAGTGAATACTGAAAGTAAGAACAATAATTAATATATTTAACAAAGATGTACATTTATATTCACAGGCAGGAATAGTAACCGAAAGAAATTTTGGAGATATAAATCAAATATTATCTCCAAAATATAATAAGAAAAATGCGTCGATTGATAATTCCTCTGGAGATGAATTATGTAACGAAATGAATTTCATAAAACTTTTGGAAAATTTCGAATTTAGATAACGTTTTGTAGATACACAATTTGTTAATTGTTTAATAAATTATGTAATATTAAGAAAGAAATGATTTTTGAGATTTCAATAAGTTATATAGAATGCTTCAGATTAAAGGATGATTTCACATCATGAGTATTGTTATGATACAGGAAATATTATCTCTATCTATAGTCTAAATTTAATAAATGCTTTTTTTTAAATATTTGAAAGCTTAAGAAAAGAGTCATATACTAAATGTAAATACTGGATTATAAAGAAGTGATGATAAGCGGGAAGAATAGAGAGAAGAATTGTGCAGTCAACAGTGTCTACAATACACAGACTCTTCCTAATCCTAATGAACTATTATTTACTACTACTAATACTACTGTTCTTCGTCATTACAATCCGATTTTTTCTTTTTTTTTTCTTTCAATAATATACAATATATATATATATTTTTTTTTTAGAAAAGACATTATATATATAATGTTGTGCTTCTTCTATTCTTTTATTTTCAATAAACTGAAAAAAACAAAATAAGAAAAAAGTCTCTGTAAATGAAATTTAGATATGCAGTATTAATACGTAAAATAAAACATATAACGTCTAACAAGTTTCAATTACGTGAAACTTTTTGATTACTTAGATCAGTGTTTTATAATTAAACATTAGAAGTAATTATATTACTACCAGAAAAATGGCAAAAGTTATTGAATCAAAATGGTTAATATATAATACAATAAAATATTTACATATTACAAGAAAATTGTCTTCCATTTTCATGAAAAAAACACGAAATTACTTTCCGAACAACCCAATATCATAGAGCCTTGATTTTAAATTGATTGAATGTAATTCTAACATCTCTTGTGAATGTTTATCAGTTAATTTTGATCTCAATTTGGACTTATTAATACTCATGATTGAGAAAGTTTTTTTGCATATACATATAAGTGCTTACAAATAATGAAAACTTTCGTTGAGCATGTTTGCATAATTCTAGGAAATCCTGTAAAGATAATCCTTTATAAAAATCAATTAAGTAATTGTTGCTATAAGATTTCTTGATTATGACATTTTTTTGTAATTCGATTGTTTTCATTATCTCTATAAATTTAAGATTGCCGTGGATGATTTGACATCACGGGTTGCACTTTAGGAATCCCTGCTGTAAACAGTAAACAAACGATTTGGAATACAATGATTTACTGTTCCTCTCATCTCTCCGCTACCCTCGCTCCCTTACATCTTCGTTATATTCCTAGACCAAGTAATACGACATCGATGACAGGAGGTAAAGTGTGCTTTTGAGTTCGCACGTCAAAATATATTTTTTTTTTTATTAACAAAACATAGAACGTACGATTGTCGTTAATTCCTTATAAGCGTCTTATCGAGAGATTGAACAAACGACGCGTATATTTTTCTTTCTTAATCTTTTTTGTCCTTCCTATGATGGGTTTGTTTATAGAAGGAAGAAAAGATGCGACTGAGATATTGAGAGAGAATGAAATGTAAGTGCAACATGTGTAAGATAGGCAATAAATAGGACAAAGTAACGAATGTATATGAATGTGAGTGGGGATAAGAAAGGCTACAGGATAGACGTGAGAAAAGAATAGCAGAGGACAGTCTTGAGTAAACCAAGCGAAGAGTAATGGTAAAACTTTCTGGATCAATTACAGGATAAAGAAATGTATTATTATAATATATTCATTAATAAAATACTTATTAATTAAGAATAAGTGATTCGAGTTTCTCTTGTCTATATCTTCCAGATAGAATGACGAAAAATATCCTACAGATACATCTTTTGTTTTATTATTATTTCCGGCAAGTCGCAAGAGATAAAAACTGAAATATGTCCGTCGTTCTCGACGATATCACGAAAAAAGGTATAAGATTATTAAAAGATAAACAAAAAAAGATACATTTAGTTAGACAGAAAGCATGGAAATTAATTAATTATAGATGTATAGATAGACTAGTTATACATACATATATATAAAAACATATTAAGAAAACATATCTAAAGAATTTAAGTTAACATAAAAGATTCCGTAAAATACCACTCATTAATTCTATCTTTATCATTCTCGCAGACTTCATATCGAAATTTTTTGAAACACTCGGGTTCTTCCGTAACTGTTCGTAAATGGCACGTAATTTAACCTAAGTATTCTTACATTATACCGTGTTACTATAGATATTAATTTGATATTAATTAAAAATTTCTTTTTAAAAGATAAATACTTGTATAATAAATTAAATGTATATTATTATTACGTTATATTATGATTGAAGAAAAACAATATTTCGTTTAATTATATAGAACAGTATATACATATTATTAGGAGATCTTAATGGGTATAAACATGTTTATAGAAATACTTCATTGTAGGTCTTCGTAGCTCAAGTGGTAGAGCGTTCGTTCGGAAAGCGAAAGGTCCTGGGTTCGATTCCCGGTCGAGGAAACAGAATGCCCTTGTTGCGCGCGTTACATTTTATACGTACCTTTCAATAGAATTAATATTATCCGTCCACTCCTTTCTACTTCTTCGATTCTCGATCGAGGAAATAAAATGCTTCTGTGTTTTAAAACTTTCCATACCTCGCAATTATATTAAATAATTTCCGTCCAATTTCTACTTCTTCGATTCTCTGTCGAGGAAATAAAATGCTCTGTGTTTAAAAAACTCTCCTTCTTCATACCTCGCAATTATTAATAATATTTCCGTCCTCTTTCTAGTTCCTCCACTTCTAAGAGTATTATATAGTATTATATTTTCCTCTTCTTCTAATGCACCATTGTGTGTTCATATGGGAGTCTCTTTTCTCTCCCCTCGTCATTATCATCATCTCATCGCTTTTTCTAGTCATTGTTCTCTTTATAGTATTATAATTATATTAATTCGTATTTTAATAAAATTTCGATTTAATTAATTAAATAATATTATAATCAGTATTTCTTTCAGTATTTCATTTGCTTTAAAAATAATAAAATTTATTTGTAATGGATTGTTCCTTTTAACGGGGGAGAGGAAGCTTCGCTATTCCTAAATAAATATTCCAACAATATACAATGTATGATATTTATCATTTCCCTTCGTGCCTAGTCTCTTTCCTAGTCTTGCCTTGTCTTGCCTTTCCCCCCCCATTTACTTTACAGTCACAAGAGAAAATCCTATATGAAACATATTTTCCTGTGACTCAAAATAAGATTCCAATTACAGACACTGTTTTTAGAGAGCAAAGAAAATTCATAACAACAAACCGCGGTCAGATTCAGTTTAGATTTCTTGAACAATGGCTCTCCTTCATTATTTCTATATACCTGCTGCTAAATGGTGAGTGTTGATTGGACTGGCAATAATTTGATAAAAGGGGACCGATTATTGTGTTATAATTGTAGGATTTGGAATGAATTGTATGCGGAGTGAGGGCTAGGTGTGTGAGTACATTGGAGTGAATTCTATTTTCATCATTGAGTGGCAGCAGGGTAGAAAGTAGTGTTATTATCAATGTCCGTCCATAGAGAAAGTATTTACTTGGGCTGAAAGTTTCCTAGATAGCTCAGGTGGATAGAGCAGTCGCCCGAAAATCTTTACGAAAATCAAGCGAAGATCTACTTTTTTTCTTTTTTTTATCCATTTTTTAATTTCTATGACAATATTTCTCATGAAACGATGTTTTTATTTTTCTATTTCTTGCATGATTCTTCTTTTCGAATGAGGAGGAAGATTATATTTCTTTTTACGTTAAATAATATAGGGAATGAATAATCACGATCAAAACGCATGGACACAACGCAACGATAGTGTACGGCAACGGTCAGCGACAAGATTAATACATTAATGTATCAATATCTCCTCGTTTCGAAAACGGACATTTTTTCGTTACATAGTATTTCATTACGTATTTAGAAAACATTATATACACTTTATTTTTTTAATGCAATATTTTGTAATTCATTCTTATATATTTACAATTTACATTTTATTTATAATCACAGCAATAGTAAGAAGTACGAAAAATTAAATTAAAGGGAAATTAATCTTTATATAGATAATCTTCCGGACAGTAATTGAACTCGGCACAAAACGATACTTTCTATCAAATCTACATTTTACAACTTTCATATTTTTAAATGTCATAGATTCAGACATACATGCGGATGGAGCAGCTGGCAGAAATTAAATTTATTGATATTTACGTTCTTACATTTTCACTTTATTGTTCAAACAATTTTGTCTCAAAGAGGAATAAATTTATTAGCAATACTTTGAATGAATAAGATTCCGTTACACTAATTGGTATTTCTAGCACATTTTTGTACAATTCAGCAGCAATTATAAACATTTTTAATTGACATTTCATACCACAGAATATCACACATATACTGAAGTAATTCGAATGATCGATATATCTCTTCGAAAAATGATAACTAATAATAACGATATGAATGGTGGAGTAAAATGTAAAATGCCAGTCCTTGACAGATAATGCTGGTCTTCGTAGTCCCGTGAGGCGCGCCGCTCCTTAGGATTTCAGCTATATCGGCTTTGGCCACCAAGATGGTGTTAGGCCATAAGACTTTACTAGCGAAGATCCACGCTTTCGGTGCAGGGCCTGAAAAAATTCGCGGCGCCTGAAGGACGAACTGGGAGGACGATTTCGTCATGCACCTTACAATACATGATCACAGGGAACCACGTGGTGGTACGCCTCATCGCTCGGCCTAGCGATGGTCCGGTTATAGCACTTCAACTTAATAGAAAAACGCGTGCGGACGTTAATCGAACTCTCATGCTGATCGAGCTGCGAAGATCTCGAATGATCGAGGAGTTCGAATAATTTCCGTCGGTCATGTAGGCCAAAATTCACAGGTATAGTGACTGTTCTTTGCCCGACAGCATGCTAGTCCTTGACAAAACAAGATGCAGTATTTCATCTGTTACAAGTTTTTTATATTAAATATGTATATCAATCAAATTATGTGGAACACTACGAAGATCGTAAGTAGCGACACGTATAACTAATATACGGTATTAATAATAACTAATAAATAACAACTAATATACGCTGAGATTTAAGTCAGTCGTGATAAGGCAATCAAAGTGAGCACATTTCCTTTAATCATATATTTTCTTTTTTTATTTCATACATTAATTCTTTCCTAATAAAAGTCTAATAAATTATCAGAAATGGAATATCAAAGAAAAAGATACAAGTGCTCTTTTCAAGGAAAGACAATATCGTAGCGTGATAATTTTCTTCCGAACCAAAGATTAGGTGGTCTTGGACATGACATTAGGACAGGATACATGATAGAGTGTTATTACGAGAAGTCAGATTAATGCACAGAAGCAGAGTTGTCAGACAAAGAAACGATCAATTGGAAAGTCGAGTATTTAAGAAACATATATAATTCTGAAATTATTTGATAGCTTTTTCAAGGTATGCAAAATCACTTTCCTGATTTAAGGATGCATATCACAGTAATATTTTTAAAAATTCAAACTTTCAGCAATTACTTATTTCGGAGGATTACTTAAAATATTTTGAAACTTTATCTTTCGATATTGAGATATTAATTAAAAGATACAATGAGTATGCAATTCTCTATGCGTGAAACAATACAGCTTTTGAGTATTACAAATTTGCCAAATTTGAGGGTAAACAAACAGGATATATTTGAGGATTATTGAGAAAAACTAGACAAATGCATAGAAGCAGATATGTCGGAGAAGGAACCAATCAAATGGACAGTTAAAGATTTGAATACTATTTGGGATCTCTTTCAAATTATCCAAAATCAAATATTTGACTTCAGAGTGTAAGCCATTATAATATTATTAAAAATTCGAATTATCGTTTATTCGTTATTTCTTATAAAGATATAAATTTCAAGAATATTTTTAGATAGTTTTCGAAGGAAATCTGGAAAATTGGTTAAGTTATATGTTCTCCTATGAAACGGAATCTAATACTCTAATATTTTGAACGGTAGGTATTATCGTGACAGCAACTTATAATGTGAGGAAATTTTACCTAATAGAAGTATAAGAAAGAATGGACTGTAATTGTTATTGAGGTTATAAATTATCGTGTGAAGGCATTAGCCGAGACATTCTTCTTGAACGATGTTTATGTATCTCTTATCAAAGTAATATGAAGAATTTTAACGATGGTTATTTGAACGTTTGCGACAAAAGATGACATTGTTTGATATCATTTTTTAGTAGAAATTGCTGCAAATATTGCTACAATATTATTCAATGATGAACGTGTTCTAACAGATATTTAGTTGTAAAAATATCCCTTGATGAGGGAATATGCTAGTACAACAATAAGAATAATATTGTAGTATAACATAGTATGCACTCCAATGAAAAAACAAGATGTAGGTTATTATTGGACATACATCTTTTCTCATTTTCTCATACCTATATATGTAAAAATTAAATTACGTAGGGAAATATGAAAATCATAAGTAGCGAAAAGTACAACTAATATACGGTGTTGATACTAGAATTGTAGTCAGTCGTGATTAGCCAGTCAAAGCATAATAAGCATGACTGACTAATTATTTATCTTCTTATTTGCAGTAAAGCATAGTAAGTGCAGGAAACTGTCTAATCAATACTCCGGTAATTAAAATACCATATGAATTAATTGTGTGGTCTAATAAAAATCTGATAGTTACAAAAAGCGATATTCAAAATATTTCGGTTAAGAGAGTATGAATATGTGGGGTAAAAAAAGTGGTGAAAAAACATTCAAATAATAGTCGGACATATCAAGGAGAAAAAAGTAAGCAAATCAAATCTACAAGGAAAGATGTCAATAACATTAGAGAACAAGGATACTCAAGACGATATAATGTTGATTAGAAACGTTCCGACAAAGACACAGAATTATGACCGAAACAATAATACTGAGAGCAAAAAAGTATTATCGAAATCAGGCTGAAGTGAATACTGAAGGTAAGAACAATAATTAATATATTTAACAAAGATGTACATTTTTATTCGCAGGCAGGAGTAAATTATGGAGAGCAAAAGAAATTATGGAGACATAAATCAAATATTATCTCCAAAATATGATAAGAAAAATGCGACGGGAAAAGTAAACTCAGATCCCATTATATTGGGAGACTCTAATATGTAGAAATTTTACAGAATTTTCTGGAGAACTAGTCTGTAAAAATTTATTTATTCTTAGCAAATATGAAGATGCAATTGGTAAATATATCTTACAAATACTTTATATCGATAGAACTGAGATAAATATATATTATTCGTGGATTCAACATCCGTACATTATCAACAATATTGAGTATTCCATTACGAATAGCAACAATAACAGTCAGGAAATAAATAACGAATAGCAATTGATGGAAACCGACATCATCGAAGAGGATGCTTTTCAATTTTCCAGTTCGGTAAAATTGATAAAAAAAAATTACGAATGTGCA